GATTCATGGGTTGTGTCTTTACTAAATATAATATGCAAGGTTCTGCCAAACTGCAGGCTACATCTATACCCACTAGTAAACACATTTAAGAGAAAAAAGACCTAAATAAATCAAATAGGTAAGCATACCATTATTTGAGAAAATAAAGAATACCATATTCAATTACTTAAATGTTATAAAAAAGAGAATTACAAATAGCAGGACCTAAAGATAAATGGACATAGGACGACATTTTTCATATCTATACAACAAGATGAGAAGAAGACTTTAGAGCATCAAAATTTAAAGCATTATCTCTGAAAGTGAATCAATATTTTTCAATATAATTCCCTCCACATTTTCCAAGTCAGAAATCATTTAGTAATAGCAATTTTCAACTACAACAACTGCAAAAGAAAAAACCTTTTGTTAAGTCTTCCATACAGTTATTAGGCAAGTAAAACCATTGGTTTCATGGAAAAAAAAAAATTGTGTAAATAATATTATTGCATTTTCCTTTTTTAAGAAGAATGGATGAATCAATTATAATTAAAGATAAAAACAATATTAGAATCTTTTTATATCAAACATTGCCAAAGCCCCACATTCAAAACAACCTTGACAATTTCCAAAAGAGCTAAGATCTCAGCCTAAATAGCAATTTGGTGTCATCCAGCATAGAGAACCCAAGTATCTAATTTATCAAAGTGAAAGCTAATTAACAATCTTGCATTATCCTGAGCTAGAGTATACAGTATATACATATTTGTTGTAAAATGTGAGTGCACTAGAAGACAAGAATGTGTGATGTGTCAATGGGTATTGAGGTCCCTCTATATGCTGGAAAATGTCAGGATAATACTTTCTCTAATGCTATTGGTGGATCTAGCCATCCTTATCCGCTATACTAGGGTTTTTCAGTGTGACAAAAAGTTGGTATAAAGCATCCTTATAGTAGCCTGCAAAAAAGAGAGCCAAGAGAGGAATATTGAGCTAAAATAGGCTGCATTGCAAAAGGGGCTCGAAGCTGAATATAGTGAGTGTTTAATGGGTGATTTCAGGTTTATCCAAGTCTATTTTATTCACTGAAATCCTCATAAAGAAGCTGTAGATGTGTTGAACAGAAAGGAGGGCTTGTGTTGCTGATTTTCTGGTGTAAAAGAGTGATTCAGAGCCTCAACATCTATGAAGGACAGTTCAGAGGTTTGTACAGGTTAAGGCAAGTATATTCTATCTATTTAAAGCTGCAAAAAACCTGTTCTTAAGCATATAAGTGCTGTAGCTAAATTTGAGGTCCCATTCTTTTTTATTGTTGCTGATTTTTGGTTTAAGTAACAGAACTGAGTTATATATATACAAATCATGGTGTGAGTTGATTGTGTACCCTTGGAACATGATTGTGTTAATGATTATAAGCTGTTGAAGTTGGTTTATTTCCTAAAAAGTGGTCAGTGCTTGTTTTGACATCTTAAACCTCATAAGCAAGGGTTTTAAGCTTAATACACTAAGATCACAAAACTAAAATTAAAGTGTTATGCCTCAGTTAGTGTGTTCTACATCAGAGCATATGTGTAATGATGGTTCTAGTTTGTGAGAACTCAATTCAGGCCTGAGATTATACGAAATTCCAGAAATACACTTCAGTCAAGCAATTCTGCAGAAACTGTAGCTGAGGACAGTTTGTGAGCTATTTCTTGAATATTAATTGCTGTGTTCGAGTGGTGGTTAATCTGAGCAAGTGTAAGGTGAGGAAACAGAGCCGTGGACCTAAGCTTTCAGAGGTGTCTAGGCAAAATACCAGTTTTACCCCTTCATATTAATGTTAATTCAATGCTGTTGTTTTGAGCCTGCTGTGAGTTTTTCAGTTCTGTTTGTGAGCTGCAAATTGATTTACCTTGCTGCTTTAAGAATTTTTTATGCACCAGCAAGTGTATTTTATGAAGACAAAGCTGTGACAACTGTTGGTGGTACAGGACTGAAATTGAATTAGTGCTATACGCACACAAAACCCTAAAAGCTAGGGTTAGTTGAGTTCAAGCCATTTGAGTGTTGTGATTTACATAAAATTGTTTCTCCCTATGTTGATTTTGTTTTCCCAAGCCCTCTATAATTTTGGGACTGAGACTTAAAAGGCTAACAAAGAGTCTGCAACTTTGACCCTTAAAGTTTAAATAATATTAGTGTCAACAATGCTCTGAAAAATGTGTGCAAGAGAGAGAGAGAGAGAGACTTTTTTACTGGACCCCTTCAACAGGAGGGTATATTCTTCCCAGAGAGTTGGTGTATAAAATGATTAGATATGAATTTTTGACACTTGGACTTAATGGTTTCTATCTTTATCTGAAGTGAGCCCTTTTCAAGGGAAGAGACTAAAAAGGCACCAAACTAGCTTGGAAAGTGGGGGATAGGGTAGAGGGATGAGGCTATGAATAGACTGATGGAATGAGGGCTTTTCACTTTGATTAAATGAAAGAGGCTTTTACATATTCTCCCTTGCAAGTTGAGAAAGTATTTTATTAAAAGACGCAACACACAACTAGCCAAGCTTGAAACAATAATTCAGAAAAGCTATACACAAAATCAATTAATTTATAATTAATTAAATTTAAGTCAAGTCAAATTTAAAAGTATAGAGAATCAAATAGGAACAAATAATACAAAACATTAACAGAATCAAAACAGATTCACAACTATTTGTATTCATAAAGTTTGCCAGCAAAGCAAGTGGAAGCAAATTTACCGACAAGGGCAGTTAATTCAAACCAATACTAGATATTGTGTATGCCCAAATGCATTACCAACAAGCAAATTTACAATTAATCTCCACATCCAAACACAAATAATCTATGTCCAGTACACTGAAAAAGTAACACATGATATAACTTGCTATCTAGTTAACTCTTTCAGTTATCATTTATGACTGAAGATGGTCAAAATAATTCTCGAAATAGTACAAATTAGGGACAAAGAAATATGCAGTCATAACATAACCACAGTATGTTCTTTGGGGAAAAAGTCAATGCAATTTTTATCTAAGCCAATGTTCAAATTATATAACTAGTCTAGTGATTCTATACACAACTTCAAAGTTGTACACTAAACACCTACTAAGCCCATGTTCAAATTATATAACCAGACCAATGCTTTTCAAATGAAGCAAGTACCCTTGTTTGTTGATCATATTGGATCACTTACCCAAAAAAAAATATTTATAGAAAAACAAAAATCATTCCCATATTTCCCAGCCACTTCTAAGTTTTAACAACAGAGAAGATTTCTAGGGATAAGGGGTGACACGGAGATTAATATTAAAATGTCACACCTAGATTTATGAAAAAAAAAATCAAAACTCCTAATCATTATTATATATATGTGCATGCAGAGAGATAGAGAAATAGAGAAGACCATGAAAATTGGCGAATCTTCATGTTAAGTTAGATGATTTAACTTCTATGAAAAAAAAAAAAAAAAGATTTCATAACTTACATATGCTTTGCGAGCATCATCATTAGTCCATCCAGTCCCTTCCTTGAAATGTGCATTCTTGTACATTTTGATGGCAGGTCCTACGATACGATCCTCATTCTCTTCATCACTATCTTCATCATTTAAAGTAGCTTCCTTTTGTTTCTTCATTAATTATTTTTATATATTATAAGGTATGGTTGTTGAAAGAAAAAAAAATAAAGAAATCTAAGTATAGTGTTAGATATTACATACCTCTTCATAATGCATTTTGGCAAACGACTTTGACCCAGCATAATGTATCACATCATTCTTTGACCTGTTTTCTTTGTTCTGGGCACTAATTTCCTACAAAATAATTGAAAAATGATACAACAAATGAAGGAAAGAATGAAACGTTGAAATCTTTGGAAAACGATATAAATAGAAAAAAATGTAGTAAACTTAACTTGAAAATTTTTTGACATCCACCTATTGCACAAGATCTGCCAGTCCTCGTAAGTTACTTCAGGATGTGTGTTGCGGCGTGCACTTTCTTCTGTTTCGAATTGGTTAAAATGTTCTTTCAAACGGTACCTATACTTCCTATGAGCAATGGCTAATGCGTTATCTGCGCATTCCTTAGCTTTTGAATCCTTTTCACAATCAACTCCGAATTCTTCCTGTAGTTTTTCACATGAATAAGCCATAAATAAATATCATTTTAAAGAAGGAAAAATAACAGAATCCTGATTTTGGAAAGATAAAAAAGGAAAAATTACAAATTATTTTTCATATCATCTAAATATACAAAGAAATCCCACACAAAGATATGCATTAATTAAGGCAAACCTTTATTTTACAATATAAGAACTGTTTATGAGATTTCGGAATCTTCAGCCAATTGTTATAGCATAGTGGAATGTAATCACGAGCAATGATCCCAAGCTCCTTCTCCCATAAATCTGAATGTTCCTCCACCGGTTTTGAATAATCGTCGTTAAACTTAATCGGAATGATACCCCCATTGTATTTTTTGATTTTATATTTTTTTTTGTTTACAGCTTTTCCACGCTTCGGGAATTCTCTTGAAGAACCTGAAAAATAAAAGACATGAAAGTAACTTGTAAAAGTATTTTGAGACCTACTTTTAGTAAATTCAAAGACCAAGTGTAGTAAATGTAAAGATTAGAAAATATCACCTTCCACTATTGGTTGTGGCTGGGACGATGCAGGAGCATTTTGGGTGAGTTCATTGTTAGATCTCAAAGAGCGACGAGGTTCATTGGATGCCATGGTATATTACAGCAAAAGGCGAATAAAATCTTTATAACGAATCAAAAAATCGATAGATTAGAGAGTAACAATTAAGTAAGAGGGAGAAGTATTAAAATAACAAGACAACAGAAAATTAATATAAAGAAAAATAATAGATAATGTGAATGTAAAAAAAGAAGTAATAATAAGACAAAAAGATAAAAACAATACATATTCTAAAACTTAATGTTCAAGTACTGAAGACAATTTAACTTCAAATTTGCATGTGTTCAACAAAAAATGAATAAAAATAAAACTCATCACATGTCATCCAAATCAGTATCATCTTCACTAAGCAATTCTTCTTCCTCGTCTGAATTGTCTTCAATGGAGATTTCATCATTGTCTTCAAGAAAGTCAAATTCATAACATGATTCTTGACTAGTTTTAAGAATTATTTCAGCATCAATACTTTCAACCTCCAAGCCATCCCTATTCAAAGGGAGTGGATCCATGTCAAAGTTTGCCGCCTCAATAACCCTATCCACAATACATGGTTCACCCTCTTGATATGCTGCAGTACACATTTCAGCTGTAAGTTTGCTATCATCCTCCATTTCAGGAACATCATAGGAGCTTCTAAGTGTTATATCTTGAATGACCTCCCACGTCCCTCGTAATTTGCTGTCTTTGACGAAGAAGGCTTGTTTAGCTTGATTAGCCAACACAAAAGGCTCATCTTTGTACCATTTACGGGCTATATTTATGCTCCTAAAATAAGTATCACTCTTAATACCAGTCTTTGTGTTGAACCAATCACATTTAAATAGGACAACCCGCCTTTTCAAAGGGTATTGTAACTCAATGATATCTGTCAAGACGCCATAGTAATCAAGGTCCTCTGTTTTGACTAACACACCACTATTTTGTGTTCTTCGATTTCTCTCCCTTTCCTTTGTATGGAACCTAACTCCGTTTACAATGCAACCAGAATATCGATGTATCCGAGATTCAGGTCCACACGCTAATGAATAAAGGTCATCATTAATTGTTGACTTGTTATGATAACGCTCTTCCTTTATCTATGAAAAATTTGTAGAGTGTTAAACTAATGCACAAGGACACAACATCTAAAAGAAATGGTAGGTATGTCAAGCACATTATAGACTTACCAGTGTTTCCAACCATCTGGGAAATTCTTTTGCGTGTCTGGATTGTACATTAACCGTATTTTCTTGCTCAAGTGTAGCCTTGTGTGCACTAAATAATTATGTGATATTAATATATGCATTTTATAATTTACAAGTAGATAATTTAAAAAAAAAAAAATACAATATATAACTTACAGTGCGTATGACTCAATTTCTGGACAATTATTTAACACGTAGAATCGAGCCTTTTGTATGCTTGCAATGTCAAGTATTTCTAAACTTCCAGACCCTAAAGGACGAACCACTTGCCTTAGCTGTGAAAAAGTGGACCAATTGGTACGATAGTCGCCCTCGTGATTTCTTTCTTCTCGATTAAATCGTGTCTCAATCCTTTGAAGAAACCTTGAGCAAAATGTAACACATTCATTGTCCACATAAGCTTCGGCAATGGACCCTTCAGGACGTGCCTTATTACGCACATAAGACTTAAGAGTATGTAAAAACCTGCATACACATCAAAATACTTATACATAATTAAATATCATGTAATGCCCCCAAAACATTTTATTTATTAGAAATATACATTACCTTTCAATGGGATACATCCACCGATATTGGGCAGGTCCTGCGATGATAGCCTCACGTGGCAAATGCATAGCTAAGTGCACCATTATGTCAAAAAATGATGGAGGAAATATCATCTCTAACTTGCATATTATAACAACAATGTCCCTTTCTAATGCCTCTAAGACATCCATTTTAAGGGTCCGACAACACATCTCCTTAAAGAATAAACCAAGCTCTGCTATCGCATTACAAATATCAACGGGTAACAATCCCCGTATAGCTAGAGGGAGGAGACGCTGTAAGAGAACATGTGAATCATGACTTTTCAATCCAGATATCTTACATTCATTGACATTGACACAACGGCTTATGTTCGACGCATAACCATCTGGGAATTTCACCGACTTTAACCAATCACACAATTGCCTTTTTTCATCCTTTGACAATGTGTAACGCGCAGGTGGCATCTCAAATTTCTCACCATTACGCCTAAGATGAAGCTCTTTTCTAATACCCATTTCTTCTAAATCCATCTGACTTTTGAACGTATCTTTCGTCTTTCCTTCAATGTTCATTAATGTCCCCAATACGTTATCACATTTGTTTTTCTCTATGTGCATAACATCCAAGTTGTGCCGCAACAAAAGCGTTCTCCAATAAGGCAATTCAAAGAATATACTCTTTTTTGTCCAATTAAGTTCCTCCTTCCCACGAGTCCGCTTCTTATTGTTTGGTCCTTTTCCGAATCTAACCTCGGGTATGGGATTAAGTTGTTCTAGAATATCATCACCAGTCAACTGCTTTGGTGGCTGTCTTTCTTCCTTCTCACCATTAAATTGCTTATAACGCTTCCTATAAGCGTGTTCGGATGACAAAAAAATACGAGCTCCCAAGTAACATATCTTCTTTCCATGACTCAAATAACAAGAACATGTGTGTTTGTTACAATTTGGACATGCCATATAACCCTTTGTCATCCATCCGGATGTCATCGCATAGGCGGGAAAATCATGTATAGTCCAAATCAACCCCGCATGCATGTTAAAGTGAGATTTGCTATAGGCATCATATGTTATCACACCATCCATCCACAATTCTTTCAACTCATCGATCAACGGTCGCAGGTACACATCAATGTCATTACCAGGTGATTTAGGACCAGGAATAAGCAATGACATAAACATATATGGTTCCTTCATACATATCCAAGGTGGCAAATTGTAAGGCACAATAATTACAGGCCACATACTATAAGCATTGCTCATGTTACTAAATGGATTAAAACCATCACATGCTAACCCGAGACGAACATTACGAGGATCGGCAGCAAACCAACTATGCTTATTGTCAAATTCCTCCCAAGCTTTTGAATCAGCTGGATGTCTTAACACATTTGTCTCTTTGACGCGTTTCTCCTTATGCCACCGCATGTCTACGGCTGTATCCCTTGACATAAACAATTGTTGAAGCCTGTGTTTCAAAGGAAAGCATCATAGAACTTTTTGAGGAATTTTCTTACCTTTACCTTCGCGAGATTTATACCTTGACTCACCACACTGTGGACAACATTCTTTACCTTCATTCTCCTTCCAGAATAGAGCACAATCATTTTTACATGCATGGATGGAATCGTATCCGAGACCCAAGTCACGTAACAAGCTTTTAGTCTCGTAATATGACTTTGGCAACGTGTTGTCATCAGGAAACAACTCCTCTTTTAGCAACTTAAGCAACATGTCAAAACTTTTGTTGGTCATTCGGCCTACAACTTTTATATGGAACAACTTTAATATTGCTGACAACTTAGAGTTTTTCTGACAACCTGGCCACAATTCACATTGTGCGTCATTTAGCAATTTCTTAAATCTTTCGTCTCCCACATCAACTTCAAGTGGATCTTCTGCTTGTTCTGCATTAGTGAATGTTCCCATTCGTACATTATCCAGCAGTTCAAATACATTGTCTTCGTTTCCACGTCCCTCATCGGCATTATCCCCATTGTCGGTATTAACATCATATTCTGTATTAACAGTACTAGTGATGTTAACAGTACCCTCCCCGTGCCATATCCAATTAGTATACGACTTGTACATCCCACACTGAAATAGATGTTTTTCAACCTCCTTAATTGGCTTATACACAGTATTTTTGCACAAACGACACGGATATCTGATCCTACCCTGCCCATCTTTATGTCTGTTAGCCAACTTTATGAAGTTTCTTATGCCTCTATTGTACCCTTCACTACCCCTAGCATGATGATGAATCCAAGACTTATCCATGTAACTGGTTCATCAAAAACAAAATCAATTATTGATGCATATTGAATATATATGTGTATGTATAACTCTTTCAATTTCCTCATCCATGGTCCTATCCCATTAAATAGAAACATGAATAATGTATTAAAATAGATGCAATTGTGTGGAAATACATTTATTAATTTTTAACACATTATTTTGTATTTCAATTATGTCGAAATGTGTTATAAACATATATATATGTAAGGAACAACTTTATTTTGAACACATTATGTACAAGTATGTTCAGGACAAAAAATGTTATAGCCTCCCAAACAACCAAAAAATGAAGGAACATAATAATTATTATTTTTCCTAAATATAATATCTACCCGGATTAAATTCAAACATATTTATAAGAGAACCTTTCATTTAAACAAATTAAATTGAAGAAAACAATGAAGCTTAAAAATAACATCAATCAAAACATGAACAAACAATTCCGTATAAAATACAAAACAGAATCATATAGTTCTGTCCACAGATTCAACTATATATCACAATGTTAAGACGAAGCCAAAACCTAAGAGATCAAAAACAAAAGCCTCATTTCCTAGCACTTCATTATCTAGATGTGAACTAATTTCTAATGAAAAATCACTAAATCTGAACCAAAAGGAGGATAAAACAACACTATTTAGTTCAAATCCAAAGCTAAACAAAACCACATGTATATAGAAACAAGATATTCAAAAAAAGAAAAGAAAAAAAGAAGTAGACTTAAAATCTAATCAAAACACATGGAGACAAATTTACCGAAACAAATAGAACAGGAAATTAAGAAATCACAAGACATTGAAAATTGGACTGCTTAATTACAAAATCACAAGATCACCTAATTTACATCCCATGTGGGACAGAACACATCTACGCAACATAAAAAATGGTGTCTTTGGGTTTGCTTTTTTACTTCTAAATTTTGGTATGAATTCTGATCAGTATACTCGTAGTCTTGTATAAAAGTAAAATTTGGAAATTGAGCAAAGGTGATCTATGTACCCGCTCTAGGTCAATTTCATATTGGAGAATCCAATTATGTATAAAGCCTTGAAACTTCCAATAGTTGAAAGAATTAACATGACTACAATTGTGTCCAGGAATATAAAAAAAAAAAAAAAAAAAATCTATTATAGCCTCCCAAACAACCAGAAAATGAAGGAACATAATAATTATTTTTTTTCCTAAAGATAATTTTTTCCCAGATTTAATTCAAACAAGTTTTTATTTTTGGGCAACACATGAACAGATCTGTATAGAATACAAAACAAAATCATAGAGTTTTGTCCATAACTTCAACTATATATCACAATGTTAGACGAAACCAAAACCTAAGAGACCAAAAACAAAAGCCCCATTTCCTAGTACTTCATTATCTAGATGTGAACTAATACAAATACTCACACACACACACATATATGTATATATAAGGCCATAAAAAACATGTGTGTTAAATCTATTGAACTGGTTTCTTTTATTTTTTGAACAAAGCACATTGAGTTAGATATAAAAATACTCAACAAATTACACCATACACACAAAACAATAAATAAAGAGATAACTCTAGCCTCACCAAGCCAAAAAGCAAATATACAAATCTAAAAAGCAACGGGAAAAAAAAATTAAATATAGAAAATAAAATACATTTACAACACCCGTAGAAGAGTAAGTAGTGACACTGAACTTCTAGTCGCTCTGGTAATCCTTATAGAGAAGATCTACAGCACGAAGCAAAGAAGCAAATGATAGAAAACATTCCAAGCTATCAATCCAATCAACTGAGACAAATGGATGGGGTATTCCAAAAATATAAAGGATGGGCACTTTATGCGTTCAACTAAACATTTTGAGCTAATGCAAAATTTACAAATCCATTGAATTGATAACATTTTTGGCTGCTCAAGTGGATCAGTAATGCTGGGGATTAGAGATTTTCTTAAATACACAATACACAAGTGTTGCATTCTATAACAATTGGTTACCAAAAAATTGTTAAAATAGCTCAGTAATCTTTTGAAAAATAAAGCTTGAATTTGGTATTTTTAAAACTGTAAGATTAGCAATACAAAATAATAGGGATCATCGAGTCACTTGTTGAATTTAAAGTATTATAGGAAAAAAAATCCCCAAGAAACAATTTAGTGACAAATAACAATTTAATAAATAGCTAGTGAGTCAAGCATAATTAGGGAAAAAGTCCCAGATATTGGATCAATTTGCGGTGACCTGGGAGGCACTCTCCTAGTTGGTGTGACTTTCAGCACCACTCTAACCAATTCGTGCGCACCAAGACAGGGCGTGACACCTTCTCCTTGTCAGATAAATATATATATATATATATACATATATTTTTTTATATAATACTAACTAAAAAATGAAAGAAGAAAAAAAAAACAAAAACAAACAAACAAAACAAAACCCTCTCTTAAACATCTTGTGAAGCTAGAACCAAGTCTGCAGAACTGGAAAAGGCAAAGTGATGGATTAAGCTGTACAGTTTCAAAATAACATTTGTCCTTGGACACATACTTTGCACTTCTTCTTATCTACATGATACACTCTAGTTATCAAAAAAAAAAAAAAAATTGTTTTGTTTTGTTGGCTATAGTTATCAATTAATTAGCTTTACAGCTAACTTGCACTCTACTTGTGGATAAGAAGATCAATGGGATATAAAGTCTTGTTTATACATTCTGTTTTCTTGTCCAATAAAACTTTTTAAAAATTTAGTTCCAAAAGAAGATGGATACAACTCAGGCCAATAATTTATAATACTACTAAATTTAGTTTGTTATGATTTTTTTTTTGGAAGATTTTTTTTTTTCCAAAAAAAAAAAAAAAAAACGTTAAAACCCATTAGTACCATTTAGGTTAATGCAAAATTAAAATATTTCCAAAGCCATAAGAAGAATATTCAAAAATGAAAAAGTTGGGTTTGTGAGAAGATGACGGACCTGTTGCAGGGAGTGTCTAGAGTAGGAAAGTGGGTGAGATCAGAATACAAAGAAGGAAGAAGAAGCTTTGTCCACCATTGATGGACTGACTTTGCTGCCTCCCAATTAAAATGAATTAGATGTTCACCCAATTAGACAAAGAAGAAGCCAATAAACTGCAAATTATATATTACTAAGATCAATCAACAAAACCCACAAAAAAGGATCGACTTTCCAGCAAGAAAATTAAATTAATGAAGTAGCTTAGTTTATAGATTGTGCAAAGAATCTACTCTTATACGAATTATGAAATTTTATATTATTCTCAAAGTACGCGAGATATCAGGTTCCTCAATGGATTAAAAAGAAAAAGAAGTGAAGACAATTGTCTATTTTACTTCATAATAGCAATATATAGCATAACTCCTTCAAAATATATATATAAGAAAATTTATTCTATTTTATTTTATATTTTATTTTATTTAATAATTTTTTTTAATAGAAACTCACTCTTATATTCCACTTTTTCTTTTAAGGGATTTAAACCTAGATCTTCTATTTTGAAAGGTAAAAAAGTGCCACTATTTTAAAAGTAAAGTTTATGTTTTGCATTACAATCATATGTTTGAGAAAATTTAGAAAACTTAACTGCAGAAGGAATATATATTTTTAGCCTGGCAATTGGTTGAAGTTTGATTAGAAGTTAGAGGGTAAGTAGGCGACTCCAACAGAAGCTCACACACCAACTGTAGGGCTTCCCACCAACTGGGACATAAAACACGTCTACCATAAGGAAATTCCTAATGTAATACCATAAGAAAATTGAAAATTGAAGTCCAAATTAATGCGCTTAATGTACAATTTGGAAGGATGAGCGCGACAAGAACTTATCTTCTGATTTCAAGTTTTAAAAATCTTCTCCAGCATTCCACAATTCTAAATTAAAATAAAAATTCAAAGAAGACCTTTACAATTCTTCTTTTTTAATTTTTCTGTCTCATTTTCACCAAAAATTTAATATTCAAAGTTAATCATAACTTGATCCTAATCCAAATACAGAGTTCCATGCATGACTACTTACCAAATTAAATATTGATCTTTGAACCCACCCCCCGTTTTCCTTTTTGTTACATTTTTTTTTCCCTTAATTTCGTTTTCAGTACAAATATGGTTGTTAAGCAGTGAACAATAAAGCGAACACTCAAGTTTTGTGCATCTAAAACATTTATGTTAATTATATGCATGTGTATATATGTGTATATAGTGAATGTATACGCAGTTAGGGTTCATTAATTGGGAAATAAGGGAATTAAGGAGTGAAAATTACCGGCGGTGGGATTGATGTTGAAGACGGCAGAGAGTGTTAGAGGACTCGTCGATAGGAGAGCAGAGGATATCAAGAAAGATCGTTTCTGGCTGCTGTTGCTGTTGGGCTCTTCAAGACCTCCATGTTGATACCCACTTTTGCGAAAGAGAAAATTAGTTCGCAATGACTTGAATTGAAAAGAAAGAGATCGATATTGGGGAAGACCATACAAGTTTTTCAGCACTAGATGTCATGTAAAGGCAGAGGGATCATCATCGTCTGAGATAGAAGACGGAAGGAGAAGAGCTAGCTAGGGCAATCCTTCAGAAAGAGGGCAGAACAAGTTTAATATAATTGAGAGGGTTCTGCGCAAGTGTCTCCCTTGTGGGCAAAATATATATATGCTAATTGACCGAAACTACGTCGTTTTAGAAGGATAGTTTTGTAAAATTACCTGGTAAGTAATCAAGGACGGTACGTTTACCGTCCCAAAAGGCCATTTTCATAATTTTTTTTATTAAAAAAAATATAAATATGGCGCTAAATTTTCGCGCTAACAAATTGGAGAGGGGGGAATTTTTTTTTTTTTTTGTTGGTATTTTAGGCTTTTTTGGGTAATTTGGGACAAACTGCCCCTTCCGTCCCAAATAAACTACCTTTTTGGGACAAATTTGAAACTGTCCCTAATTGTCCGTCCCTGTTGCCCAGAATTCTTGTAGTGCCTCTAGAGCTCTGGAAATCCTCCC